GAGAGAGAGAGAGAGAGAAAGAGAGAGGGTGGGGAGAGAAAGGGAAGGAGAGAGGGTGGGGAGAGAAAGGGAAGGAGGGAAGGAGAATGAGAGAGAATGACTATTGGAACTATGTTCTTTGTACTATTGTAAAGTACACTGAGCACTTTCCTAGTGGGAATGTGCATTGTAAATAGAAGATATATTATCATACATATCAATGGTACAGCACAGGCTGAACAGTGAAAGGTCATTTAACAGCTGGTCGTGCACGAGCATTCCTCATTTGAAGTGATACTTCTGAAGCACACACACATTTTGTTTTTTCTAGAAAACACTAAAATTTACCTCCAGGGATGTAAACAGGTTTTGAAAAAAAAAGACGGAAAATATACGCGCACTGACTGAAATAAGAATATAGCGAGACTAAATTATATTTGTTTCTTTCCCTCTGTTACAACAAATAATCTCTGTGTAGTATATATAGTATAATATGCATTGTTTATAGTAGACTTTGGTTAAAAGCTGGGGCCCAAATGGCAAGTCGGCCGCAAAAAAACAGAAAAAAGCCGGAAGATTTACATCCCTGTACCTCGGCAGGAGAAATTGCTCTTAGCGAATCAACTTAGTTTGAAATAAGTTAAAAAGTAGTTAGACCTTTAAGCTAAACATCTTATGTTTTGCTGATAGAGATACAGCAAGTGATTCATTTATTCCCTCATTTATTTGTAACATACATTAGAAACAATTGCTTGTTTCTTTATGAATACAAAATTTTATCATCAGAACTCAACACTGCTGGAAACCATGTCCATGATAACCAAATTTAAGATTTTGCAACAAAAACTAACCAACCTTAGCACCAACCCCTTGAAAAGCCTCCTCAAAGTCAGCGATTATCTGTGTTCCCAGCTCTGTCTGGAGATGCTTGACTCTGAAAGATGAAAAACAAAAATATGAAAAGTATTAGCTGCTCAAAAGAGTAGACAGAGAGCGTTGGGATATGAGGAAGAGCTAAAAGATTCAAGGAAAAAGAGAAGCCTAGACTGACCTTCTGATCAACATCAAGCCAGGCAACAGACAGAGTAAGAATCAAAGAGCAAAAAACTTAGGATGCGACTTCATTGTAATATCATAACTATAATAAAAATGTGACCTGTTGGGTCTTAATTTCTGCAACATGTCATTTTTTTTCTTCATCTGCAACATGTTAGATTTTCATTACAAAAATAAAGATTTCTATACAGTCGAACCCCCTTCACCAGTCACTTGTCTAAGACAATCACCAGTACAAAAAGCCACATTTTCCCAATTGCGGTTTTTCTTCATTATATTTCATGACACTGTTCAAGATGCCTACCTGTCTAAGACATGTTCTTTTGCTTCTCTTAATAACAAACTTCATATCTCCTTGTAAGAGGACTCTTGAGAACCTCTATACACTACACAAATAAATATTATAGAAACAAATTTCAACTTACCTGTCAGCCAACAGCTTGATCTGCTGTATCTCCATATATTTCTCGAAATGATCAAGAACATTTAAAACACCTTGAAGAAGGTTTGCAGCTTCTCCATACTGTCTACGTCTCGCAAGAGTACTGAAAGGGAGAAAAACAAAGCACTATAGCTACTACAGACATCAATGTCATTGCTCAAAGCGAAACGTGAAATACATTATATTTTGTTAGAAATCAACCCCAAATATGTTTTAGTTTGTAAGAAATCAAGCTCAAAAACCATCGTCATAAAATATGTAATGGTAATTGAACTGCAATTAGCAATCAAGTGGAACTGGGCAAAACATTTGAAGAGAAAATAAAGATGGGATATGTATTATTGCCAGCTTTTATTTTCTCTTCAAACTGAAATCCTTTTATTAAAGTATTAGCAATTAAAATTCTATGTACAGCTACATGTGTTTTCAACATTCCTGTATTGCAACTAAAAATTGCTGTTCGGAGCAATAAAACATTATCATGAGGTTGTGAAATACGGGCAATGCACAGTCTTAAATTTTAAGACAAAATACTAAAAATTCCTAATCAAATGACAGTTTAGTTTTAGTCTAGTAAGATTTTTACAGCACTTACAACAAAAATATGTATGTCGCCGAAGATTAAATGTGTTACAAGAGAGTAACAAACAAGAAAAGGAGGTGAGATAAGAGTAATAGACGTTCGATAGGAAAGAAAAGAGCGCCTGCTAACCACCCACAATCCTACATGCAATGATTGCAGTGTACAATGACATACGTGAGAGAGTCCACTCCTCCAACCAGCATGTGTAAATGGTTGAGCGTGGTGATCGACGATGTCAGATGTCTCTTGGCATGATCTAGTTGTTTGATGTCACGAGTAATTTCTTTCACCTGACATAATGAGATCACGCAGAGTATATAAAAATTTTAATTTGAGATTGAGTAAAGAGAGAAGCACATTGACACAATGACGATCATTTCGTGAAGGGAAGAAGCAAGACCGAGACAGAAACATAAAGGGAAAGAATAGAAGTAAGACACACAGGTCGCACCCTCTAACCACCCCCAGAGTACATCTAATAATTTTGCCAGTCGGGAACCATCAAAGTGAAAGTCATGATCTAGTTGTTAGATGTCTCAAGCAATTTCTTTTACCTGACATAATGAGACTATGCACAGTACATAAATATCAAAGTGAACAGTCAGGAACCACCAACGTGACAGGCAGACAATAAAGCTGATGTCTTAGAAACCAATATAAAAATTGGTCCCGATTTCAATAAATGATAAAAATATTACTGTAATATAACTTTTAATTCAATTTTTTGAAATTGTACATTAGTAGAAGGTTACGAGCACATTCATTCATTACCACACAAATTTTAAAAAAGATCTATCTAATGCTCCCCATCCATACCAAAAGCTGAACATGATAGAGGAGGAAGCTATTTCTGCTAAACACTCGTAATCACGAGAAAAAGGGATGTATTGTAAACCATGATAGGGGGCTCTCGTGGCCTAGAGGTTAAGGTGTTGGCCTCTCATTCAAAGGTCCCGGGTTCGATTCCGGGTAGCGACCAAAAAATTTTCTTCTCTAAAATTGTCTCCTTTCACATCCTTTCCTGATCTCTAACAATGTTCTGTTGTCTGCTTTCATTTCCACTTTCTGCCCCCACCCCCTCACCTCCTTTGCCCCCTCCTCTGGGCTCCTGACTCTTTCTGCAGCCTTTCTACTGCTACTCCTTGGCTCCTCCTAACTGCTGTCTTTCTGCCACACCCCTGATCTTCTGGTAGGAAAGATCTACACCTAGCCTTCTCGGACAAGGGCGAAAAATCTCGGAGGGCCCGTGTGCAAGTTGCGCACGTTAAAGATCCCTTGGTGGTCTAAAATCGATAAGAGTAGGCTTCGGCCGCCACCCGGGCAAAATTCAAAATTTCCTACCAACGAAAAAGTATTAGGTGTGTCCCGCGCGCTCATATGACCTTATGCAGTTGCGAGCGCCATAAAACCCTATACTAAACAAACAAACAAAACAAAACCATGATAAAATTAACTATCTCTGGTAAAAGGGAAAGTGGGAATAAACTTTAACATCTCTGCCTCGCCTCAAATGCACCAATGACCTCCCCAAAAAACAAGCTAAAGACCTGTTAATATACAGCCTTTGGACAAATTGATACGAGAGGTCTACAGTCAACTCACTTTTATTGCAATACCCTATAGTTGGTATTGAAGAATCAATGCATCAACAACAGTTGTAAGAACACCAACATACCATTTCCTCGGACTTTTCCGCCTTATCCTTTATGTCTTTGATTTTCGTGAACAAATCTTGGATGGCATGCTGAGCTTCTTCAAGAGCTCGTCTTCCCTCCTCACCAACATTAGTTTGTCCTCGCACTACCACACGGATTTCTTCATCCAGATTCCTTGATAATCATGAGAGAAAGAGAGATGAATAATATTTAGAGTACATGCTGAGTAGATGAGTACGATCCCTAGAATGACATTTCTCTTTTTAATGTTTTTAATTTATTTTTCAGAGGCATGGGCTATAACATGAGAAGACAAAATCTTTATTTAGCAAAGCGAAATATATTATTTTTAAATCCTTTTTTTTTAGCTATGCTGATTGATTTATGTGATAGGCAGATCTGCACATTATACATTTTGAATTTTGAAAATCGGTTATCAATAAGTGTGCAAGATATCAAACTGTAGAGTATAACTTGTCACTCCATTCAGGCCCTTCCACTTTTAGCTCAGAAAAGAAACACTTGACACAAAACAGTGCATACCAAATTTTGTGCCGTATTTTCCCAACAATGTCATCAATGTTGGAAAGGGACTGCTCTGTAGGGAATAAAGTGTTGATGTAGTCCACAGGATTGAAATCCGGTTTATCTAATGGGTCATTGCTGGGAAGAACCTGCAAAACACACAGAGAGAAGAGCAAGGTGAAAACATTACGCAACTAGTATTTTATTGATGTATCAGAGGTGAAAGTAGGCCATAAAGGTAAAAAAAAAATTACCTGAAAAGCTGCATCAGAAGTTCTATTGACTATTGAGGCAGGTAAACTCTCATATAATTATAATAGAAAAGTTTTTCAGTTTGAAATCAGGGCTGTAAAATATTAAATTATAATAGAATTGAAAAATACCACTAGAATTTAAGGGAAGATGTTGTCCCCCATGATTTTTTAAAAATAGTGTGTATCAGGATTTGAGAGTGATACTACAGTTCTTGTTCATATGACATTGTAAATGCATAGTACCGGTAAGTGTAATGAATTGTTGATGTGTGGCGACCATGCTAGCAATTCATTGTCATAAGACGAAGGACCAAGTCATTGAAATGAGTTTTCGAAAAAAGGGGGGGGCAAGGGGAAAGGGATGTCCCCCATACTTTCCCATAAATTTGATGTTTATGATAGGGAATGTTATGCATTCCGGTTTTAAAAATGGGGATTTTTCCCGGACGCTAGGTTCAGGTGGGCTGACAGAAAGTCGTCAATCGCTGCCCCTGAACACCCCAGACAGTTTCCTTGCCTTCACTGCACCCAAAAGACTTGCATATGAGGACTGTCATAATTATACCCATGGACAATTGAAAAGAATGTTGGTAAAATTGTGTTCCACAGCCAATTTCATTAGGTCCCTACAAGTAGTGCATTAGCAGTGTGAGTAGGGTCAGCTCGCTAATTCAAAATCCCGGAGTAACAAACGGTTTGCTGGCAATACTCGTAAACAAAGTAATAACGAATTGTTTGCTTGTGCAGATTTCCTTGTGCCAAACACTGGAGCAGAGACAGCTGTCTGTATTGCGAGCGGGCAAATGCATGAACAGAGAGACTTCTTGCATGGCATGTTATGTAACCGTATCCATACACCTGGAGTCATTTTGTACCCCAGGGGTTGTATTTTTTACTTTAGAGTACTGAAGATCTCTTTGAAACTTTCAGTATTCCTCAAAACATCATTTTGACAGATTGCTATGAAAAGTAAATCGCAATTGGTAAAGTATCTTTTTGACCAGCGGTCATATTTCGAAACGACCCTTTTTCGCCCGGCGGGGTCATTTCTGCTCCCACTCTCCAAAGAGGAAAAAAACTCAAGTTATTCTTATCCATATCTAGCGGGGTAACAGACGACTCCAACACAACGTTCGCATCGAGTACTAGTAATCGCTACATCCAAATTTTCCAACATCTGGGTTCCTGTTGGATACTGTTTGCGCTCTTGCAGTTGAGCAGGAGATCTGAAGGCATTATTATCCTATATTTTTTTATATTGAGACTGATAGTTGTTGGCAGGTCTGACACACTCTGCATCACTCAGCAGTTGAACAAATATCGGTACTTCTCTTTTTGAAGATCACCCGGCACCCTCTAACAATTATAATCGAATCTAACCATATAGTGGCTAAAACACTGAATATTCATAAATTATTAAACCTGGATCCACCGGTGGAAAGGATGAATCTATTATTTATGTACATCAGTCATAAGGGGTTTGTCTTGGAATCCATTCATATGGTTCGAACCTAGCTGGCGTCAAATTTTGCGAGATGAGAGAGAGAGACAGACAGACAGATAGAGAGACAGACAGACAGATGGAAAGCGAGAGAGTGAGAGTGTGAGAGAGAGAGAGAGAGAGAGAGAGAGAGAGAGATCAAGAGAGAGAGAGAGAGAGAAGAAAAGTCAAAGAAATTGTTTTACAATGTGTTTTTCTGGTGCTGAGGCTTTGATAATACGGAGTGTCTATGTACACGGTAACCAGGCACGTAGCCTCAGGGTCTACGTACACGGTAACCGGGCACGTAGCCTCAGTATCTACGTACACAGTAACCGGGCACGTATGGTAGCCTCAGTGTCTACGTACACGGTAACCGGCAACCGGGCGTGTAGTCTCAATGTCACATACACGGTTACCGGGCGCGTAGCCTCAATCTACGTACACGGTAACCGGCCACCGGGTGCCTCTCCTACGAACACGGTAAGCGGATATTTAGTTTCGTGGGGGAGGGGGAGGGGTTGGCTTGAACTAGGTGCATGGTAACTACTTAGCTCCTTTCATGACGTTGACATTAATTTTTCCTTTTTCACCGTGTAGTCTCAATGTCGCATACACGGTAACCGTGCGCGTAGCCTCAATATAAACGTACACAGTAACAGTGTACTCAGTTTCGGGGGGTGGGGGGGTGGGGGGGTGGGGGGGGTCGGAAGGGGGCATGAGCTAGGTGCACGCTCGGTAACTGCTTTACTTTAATTTTGCTCCCTTCATGACGTTGACTTTTTTTCTTTTTAACCGTGTAATCTCAATGTCACACACACGGTTACCTGGCGCGTAGCCTCAATATCTACGTACACGGTAACCGGGTATTTAGTTTCGTAGGGGGCTTGAGCTAGGTGCACGGTAACTGCTTTGCTCCCTTCATAACCTTGACCTTTTTCCTTTTTCACACCATGTAGTCTCAATGTCACACACACGGTAACCGGGCACGTAGCCTCAATATCTACGTACACGGTAACCGGGCGTGTAGTCTCAATGTCACATACACGGTAACCGGGCTCGTAGCCTCAATATCTACGTACACAGTAACCGGCAACCGGGCGCCTCTCATTATCTACGAACACGGTAACCGGGTATTTTGTTTCGTGAGGTGTGAGGGGGGCGCGCCTGAACTAGGTACACGGTAACTGCTTCGCTCCCTTCATGACCTTGACATTTTTCCTTTTTCACTCCGCTTTTTGTGTGTTGTGAGCGGAATGTAATCCCAAAATTAATGATCCCAATCTACCCCCTGTCATCTTTCCTGAGGGAGAGCAAAATGCAGTGACACTGAAAATCTGCGAATCTGGAACAGAAAGCTAAAATATAGATGTTTACAAAAAACATGAAATACTATCACGAGAGAGAGAGAGAACGAGACTCAGAAAACAGAGAGAGTGAGAGAGAGGGAGAGAGAGAGAGAGAGAGAGAGAGAGAATTAAAAAAGTATGCTCTTGAAGTGGTCATACCTCTCTTAAAACAAAGGACAATGAAACAAACGTACTATCACCAAGGAGATCCTTGACTATCACCCATCCAATAAAACGCGGACCTTTTAGTTAAAAAACACGGTTTACTAGGTATTAGTATGACGGATCCCAATTCCGTACAGGGCTTGCACCAATGCACGCTTTTCCGTAGCATGAAGCTCTAGTAATAATCAAAATTCTAAATACTAAAATTTGCTTCCAAGTTCAGTTTTTGTCATCCGATGTGGCCTTCAACCCCACCCCTCCCCCCAACTGTACCTTTTTAAAAAATCAATAATCCCCCCATTCCGGAGCCCTATTCTTCGCGCAGCACACACTATGAACGAACTTTGGAGACCCCAACGATCTCTGGTACTCACAATGTGATGCGAAGGTACAGGTTCACTGACTGGTCACAATGTCAAGCCTGACAAGACGCTTGTATAACTTTCTTTTTTTCCCGCAAGTGAAAGCACAGGACAATGATTTATTTTCAAGGTGACACAGCATTTGTAATGCACAACCTGTATGTTACAAATGTTGCGTTAATCAGACTGCTACCGGCAAATTTCTGGGTGGTAAAGAAAGCGAAAGTAGATCGAGCTTCGGTACCACGCATACACTTACGCTTGCCGCCAAAGCGCCCTGTTCATACCTAAAACTATCTTTTGTTTTCGAAAGAGTTAGCACTGTTCATATGAGTGCCGAAGATTAGAGGCATTAGTGTTACAAGAGAGTAACAAACACAAAAAGAAGGAAGAGAAAGATAAGGATGATAGATGTTGAATAGGAGAGAAGGAGCAGACCACATCAGAGCACCCACCAACCACCCAACTTGCGCTGTTCCGTTTCTTTCTTTCCTGGTCCATTGCGAACACATGACAATTGCGAACCAGCAGGGATCGAAATTTTGCCATCGTACCAATTTTGACCTCGCTTTTTTAGTTTTCAGGTGTGTTTGCACTTTTTATCACATATTAAAAGGGTGTTTTCTTAATGACGTCTATTATTATTTATTTGGTGGATAAATGGCTACTAATGATTTTGCAACATGATGTGTCGCGATTCGTGCGTTTTTCACGTGTTGAGAGAAAATGCCGCGGTAAGGGCACTATGACAATACTTTGTACCGCAGCGCGGCATATTGCTGCGGTATTGCCGCGCTGGGGTACAAGGTATTGTTATAGTGCCCTTACCGCGGTATTAGGGGTTTCGGGGTCAAGAGAGTGAGACAGAAAGAACTACATTGTTTTAGTCAGTTTACTGATGTTGCTGTATTCATTTGAGTGTGTGTTTGTGTGTGTGTGGGGGGGTATGTGGATGTGTGTGTGTGTGTGTTAGAGAGAGAGAGAGAGTGTTGGTGTGTGTG